TACTATATGTAATGCTTATCCAATACCTCTTATAACTGAGTTGTTTGACAGATTAAAAGATGCTAAAATTTTCACCAAACTCGATTTAATAAATTCTTATAATCTGGTCAGAATACGCAAAGGAGACGAGTGGAAGAAAGCCTTTAACACAACAGATACGGGCATTACGAATATACGGTAATGCCTTTTGGGTTATGTAACGCCCCGGCTGTCTTTCAAAATCTCATAAATGACGTATTGAGAGATTTCCAACCAGAATTTGTGATCATCTACCTGTATGATATCTTGATATACTCTAAAGACCTAGTAACGCATCACAAACAAGTTATGAAGGTTTTGACCAAACTGTTACAGAATGGATTATACTGCAAACTAGAAAAATGCCTTTTTCAGAAGTCCCAATTTTCTTTTCTAGGTTATGTGATAGCAAGGGAGGGATTTGAGATTGATCCTAAAAAATTAGATTCGATAATCAAATGGCCCATTCACATTGGACTAAAAGCTATACAACAATTTGTAGGCTTCTCAAATTACTATAGATGTTTCATAAAGAATGTTTCATCTATCATTTCTCCTATTACGAACATGACTAAAAAAGGAGTTAATCCTAAAAAATGGTCTAAAGAAGCCTTAAAAACTTTTGATGCCTTGAAAATGTCCTTCGCTTCTGCACCTATACTGGTCCACCCTGATTCCAACTTACCTTTCTTGCTTGAAGTTGACGCATTAGAGACCGGTGTGGGAGCAGTTCTGTTTCAAAGAAAGGATCCTGATCAACTCCTCCATCCCTGTGGGTTTTATTCTAAAAAGTTGTCTGACACAGAAAGGAGATATTTTATAGGAGATGTAACGGACCGTTTCTCTCAAACGGGGATAAATCCGTTTAGGCGATAATCCCTTTTCCCATAGACCAGCAGCTACTGCAATCACCAACCTCCTGAACTCCAAACTGCACGTATTCACCAACTCTCGAACAGCAGACACAGGAACCCTGGAAGCAGCCGAACAGGAAAAGCAATACAAACGGCTTACACTCCTGGCAGTCAGCACACAATCCAATTCCCCCAATAACGAGACGACACTTCGTTTTGAGGGTTAAGCAGAATCTGAGGTTTTATTCACACAGCCTCCTTTTAAGACATTCTCCCATGCAAGGGAGGGATCCACAACAATTAGTACCCCAGCCAATAATGTACCAGTTACCTCCCACACATCTCCTCCCCTTAGTGTGACACATAATCCCATTAGTACAGACACAAATTCCCTGGGATACTGGATGTACCCCTAAACATAGGAATACCCCTTTAAATGTTACATCCCCTGGTACCCTGATCTGGGTGAGACACATATCCAAAAATCACCCAGATCGGACCAGGGGTTCAGGAATTAGAAAGGGTTAAAGTTTTGACCGACTGCATGGCAAAAGTATCCGAAAATAGTTCCATGTATTTTGGCCCTGCAGTCGGTCACAGAAAAGGGAATCAAACACACGAATGGCCTGTGTTACAGAGCTTGGGGAGGATTTGTATGAATCCCCCTGTTCGTGGGATCCTTTCTACCGAACGGCGGGCCGTTCGGTAGTTTCTGCACGAATTGCTGGAAGTCTGGAGGTCTCAGCGGTGTTTGCTTAGTCAAGTGTCCGATTTTAGTTCCAGACACTCAACGGCAAAACACCGCTGTTCGGGAGTTTAAGATGGCCGCCGCCACGTGTTCGTTTCCCGAATGGCGGCCACCCAGAGGACACAACACACATTACACATATTGCCAATCACCCATTTGCAACATTGTTGCAAACGGTAATTGGAGGCACACTTACTCCCGGGTGGTCTGGTTGTTCGGTAGTTTCACCCAATATAATGAATGAAGTGATTCTACCGAACAATCAGGGGAATGCTGCATTCACATCACACTTTATACTGAACACATAATATTAAATACAGCCTGAATGCAATTTGCTACATAGTCTTAAAAAGGCATTATTCCTAACAGGCAGAATATGTTCACGGATGGCCCTTAAAGGGCCAGTAGCAGCAATCTAAGAAGGTCACATGCCCAAATATTGCATACAAAAGTACGAATTCACAAGGGGGCCATAGTCAGATGGCAGGAGGCTGGCAACCAGGCTTCTCCAGTGCATAGTGGCGAGGTTGGTTTCGCCACAGGAGATAGGGAACTTCTTGCTATCATTCTGGCCTTTAAGGAATGACGTCACCTCCTGGAAGGTAGTATACACCCTATAACAGTCCTAACAGTACGTTACAGCTTTTGTTACATTCTGCGTTTAGGAGCCCCACTATCCTGACACACTGACCGTCAGTTGCATGGAACAGTTCTTACACCACCACATGCTGAAACCATTTCGGGGATCAGGATATGCTCAACGTCTCTCTCTTCAGACTTCGTCAAGCTCCTGTTCAATCTACCACTCAGCTTGCGATAGTGGCGCCCTACACTGTATTTTGACTTTGTTATCATACAGTTTTCTTTGTGTACTAAAAATATCCATATTTTCCTCCCCCTGCTGCGCTTTCATTGTGAGTCGGAGCCACAGTACAATGACAATCCTTAGAGCGATCATACTCTTTCAGATCACTTCACTGGAGCACTGGCTGGTGTGTGGAAGTGGATATGACGCCATTTCCCCTCTCTGTACACAATCTCAGTGGCTGATAAAGCGAAGATAAAGCCAGCACCAGCAGGAAAAGCCAGATTGCTCTATAGAGCACAGGTAATCGATACAGGACCGCGCTCATTGGCTGAAATCGCTCCGCTGACACTCTCACCGAACCATTGCTTTGAAGTGATATCCGGTTCCTCCTGTTGGAGAAGACCAGAAGCAGTAGATGTGTGTTGGAGAAGACCAGAAGCAGTACTGGTGCTGGGAGAGACCCAGGTAAGTTGGTGAACCATTGCTAATTGAGCTGAAGTGGTTATGGTGTTCGGAGTGTACCTTTAAGGGGAATCTATTGCTTTACCAGCAAACGTCTCACCACACGTAAAGTATGTGCGGGGGTGTGATCCGTTTTTCACATAATCTTTTTAAAAGCATTGTAAAATATGTTTTACCTTCTCTAAAAGAAAAAAGTTATTTAAACACTGCCAGGGTGTTTTGTTTGATGTAATAATTAAGATCTTTTACACAATATAAAGTTTTAGAAAAAAACAACTTATGAAAAGCTTTGTATGTTACGTGTGTAATAATTTACCAGCTGCCATGAGGAATGTGAGCCGTAAAATGTGCCAGGGGAGGAGGGGGGTTTATTCTACAAAAACAGATCTTTTAAATTAATGCAGATATATATCAGAATGACGCGGAAGAGCCGATATCCGATTTGTTCTTCACTTCACTCCAAACTCTCTGCACAAAATCTAATAGTAAAAAGAAGTAGAAATAAAAACAAGTTTAGCTAATCATGGTAATTAATTAGGAGATGAAAAATAAAGAACTTTTGGCATTGATGGAATGAAATCGTTTTCATATCAAAGTATACATTATTGATGGCTTTGTTGTTTGTTTGTTTATATATAGTGTGTTCTCATTTCACTGCGTTGTTGAAAATGAAAACATTTATTGGCCAATTGTAAATTGTGAAGAAACAAGTTTAACTCTTTGTTATTAATTTAAACCGGAATTGTGAAAATTGATGGAGGAAATGCAAATCCTAAATCAATGTATATTTATTATGAAGCTTTGTGTTTTTTTATTTATTTACTCATTTTCCAGATCTTATTTTAGATTAAGATTCCTTGTCACTTGCCAGTAGGTATTAGGTACATTTTCCAGGCGTTGAGATGGACGCCCTCTGCAGAGAGGTCACGATCTGTTTATTACTTTTTTTGATGATTTGCAAACAAGTCACATTTTAACTGATTTAAAAATTAAATGTTACTGTTCTGAATAAGCTGTGCTGAGTTTGGTTTCTACTTCAGTACACAAATCTTTTTATAGCTAATATTTTTTAAATCTCATTTTATTCTACTCGACGGCGGCCATGGTGCGCTATAAACTAGCTTAGTTGAATATCTGCACTTAATCTGACGTACTCTAAATATTTACTGGAATGTTAGACCATGATTTCTGTAGTGCGTCTTTCCAAAAAGAAAAACATTTACCTTATTACTAGCGTAGGGGGTTGGGGTTGGACTGACCCTATTCACTGTGTAACGCACGTCTACAGTAATCCAGTCACTGTGACATGTCCTATGTCATAAAGCCAATTGTATGGGTGATTAACATATGGGAATGAGTCGTCCGTGTATAAATTAGACAGATTTAATCCATCCAGTCAGAAGTTTTTTTTACAGTCTTTATTTTTCAGTGCAGAATAAAATAAATCAGGCTGTAATGGCCTTTAAGCAATATGACATCCGGCAAGAGAAGTTACATATTTATATCAGGACGTGTCAAAACTTGGAAAAAAACTAAAAGTAATATATATTATATTTATATAGCTGTGTGTCTTAATGCATAGATGCTAGTATAAACATAAGGTCATTCAGCGAGATATTAAATTAATTAATTAATGAAAGAACGATCACCCCAGCATTGGCTTCATATACAGAGTAAATGCCCAAATTAAGCCCTCAATCTATTCAGATTAAACAAAGCCACGAAAACATTAAAGAGTGGTGGTTGGTGCACAGAACAACGGACGCAGAATGCCTCAGGTAGTTGTGCAGACTGATGAGACAGCTTGCTAGTGAGATTTAGGCAATGTCCTGGATTGGGAAGAGCTCCGCTTCAGATATGAGGGACAGTCCTGTTCAGGGAGCTTCAAAGTGCCCAGGAATATTTTTCTGCCGGCTCCAGGCTCCGACGGGAACCCTAGTACAGTGTCCACTGACCCCAGCATCTGCGTTGCCCAGGTTGGAATCACGAGTGAGTCCCTTTTGGGGGGAATTCTCCCGGGTACTTGGACTTTGCCATGATGGGGGCCCTTCTGGGTTCAGGAGCCTAGACTTCGGGGGGCAGCCCTCTCTGCCATTGTGGTTTACTTACAGTAAAAACCAAAGGTAAAAAAGTTACCTGCACTCTCTCCCAAATCCCTATGTATATTTTAACAACTTGAGGCTATTTAGTTATTCCAATGGCCATTGGAATAACTAAATAACCTCCATTTGTTTAAATATACATAGGGATTTGGGAGAGAGTGCAGGTAACTTTTTTACCTTTGGTTTTTACTGTATGTCTTGGGGCTAATGTGTACTATGGTCATTGCTGCTGCCCAGGAGTGATGGGAGTTTGAGCGCAGGACTTGTTTTTTGTTTTGTTTTTTGTATTGGGGTCTACTTGCCCAGTTAAAGAAGGAGCTGGTGTGGTCTGTGCAGAGAGAGCGGACCAGAACTTTACGCAGCTAATTTGAAATGCTGCCATGAAGATCTCCCTCCAGTTCTGTAGGCCTTCCATCTCTAGGAGCTGCAAAGCAACTTGGTCCACCATCATTTTGAGGTTAGATTAGCCACGCACCTTCACAGGACTTGGATATGCTTTGTATCAAGAGATGGATGATTAACAGGTGCTATAGGGATGGGACTGGGATAACCCCCGCCGGTCCAAGGGGAAGAATATGGAACTCACCAACAGCCCTGTCAGTGGAATCCTGCTGAGGAGGTTGGCCGCCACTCCCAGTCGGGTCTATGCTAGGCCTCACTGTCCAAAAAATCTCCAAGCTAGCCAAATGCTAACCACATTGGATACTTTAGACTTAAAATTGAAATTCACTTAGAATTTACTTTTAATTCCTCCCAATTCTCACTTTAGTAAAAAGCTCCAGTAGAATCATCGTTATCCGTATAGACTGAAATACACTTATTTGCAATTTTTGTTGAACCTTGAAGATGATTGTAAACGTGTGCGCCTGTAAACTGGCCCAACCACAAAGGCACATTCTGTAGATTCACCGCACTGAATGCTGATAATGAGGTAACACTTAACCAAAAATAACTTCTACATGAACACCATTGTGAACAATGTAGAGATCAAAATACATTTTATTAACCTTTGGAAGTCCATTGGAGCCTTCCGAATCTACACAGGGGCAGTGCCATCCCCACTAAATTGGCACAATACTAACATACCTCAGTGCCAGGACTTTAAGTCTCTGAACAAGGTGAGCACTATACCTATTCCACCTTTCAACTTTTAAGACATGGAGAGGAGAGGGGGGGACATGGAGAGGAGAGGGGGGACATTGAGAGGAGAGGGGGGACATTGAGAGGAGAGGGGGACATGGAGAGGAAGAGGGAGACATGGAGAGGAGAGGGTGACATGGAGAGGACAGGGACAGGGCAGAGAGGGGCTGGTGGCAGTGAGATGGCACAGGGCAGAGAGAGGCTGGTGGCAGTGAGATGGCAGAGAGAGGCTGGTGGCATTGAGATGGCACAGGGCAGAGTGAGGCTGGTGACAGAGAGATGGCACACACAGGCTAAGGGCAGAATGGCATTGGCAGGCTGTTTGGGGGCACATGTGGCTAATTGGCTTGATATACCAGGTGTATGTATTTACTTTCCATTGTCGGGATAGACCAAGTTTATGTATTTATTACTCATTGCATGGTATACCTATTTTTTGTAAATTTTGCTCATTGGCAAGATATAGAAAGTTTATGCATTAATAGCATTCCCTTTCCCCCCAGAATATATATGTGTGACTGTGTCGATGTGCTTGTGTGTGTGTGCGTGCATGGCAGGGGAGGGGGGTGTCTTGGACCCAGGCAGCACAATGTCTTGGGCCGGTCCTGTGGAGTTGGAAACATATGAAAAGTCAGAACTGGTTACTAAAATTTTTGAATCCCACTACTGACGAGAGGTATGATGCTGCCCTAAAAGCATAAAAGCCAAGTTACGGAGCCAATATACAAATATAGGCTCCATAACATGTGAGTGATCCTACATCTCAAGAATTAATTTAGTTTATTTTTTATATAACATTTACACTATGTTGTGTCTATTTTATCCTTTATATGTACCACAAGGTAATGTATACACATATAAAGTTTATATATCAAGCGCTCCACTTAAGGTGTATGTTTTACTTATACCACTTCACAGATTTCGAATTGTGGTTGTGGATGGGAGAGTATTCCATACAAGTGTATAGAGCTGCTTTTTTTTGATTCACTTAAGCCCTTTTTGTATACACACCCCTCCCAAAAGGAGGTGTATCTTGTTTGAATTATGTGGCTACTACTAGCTCACACTGATAACGGAATTTAATGTTACAAGAAGTAATAAGTAAAAAAATAGAATAGTGTCCGTAATTTGGCTTCTCAGTAACTGGTGAAGTCTGGGAATCTCTCTGGGTTGAAGTCATTTTCTACAGATGTAAGGAACGAAAAAACAAAAAGTCTCCCTCTTCGAACCCGAAACTAGCTTGAATGACTTGATCAGCCGTAGTAATGTAACTCGGGAAGGTCCTGGTGAACAGCCAGGCTATTTAAAATGTGCCTGACACAAAAAAGACGCTGTCATTTCTAGGGAATAACACTTCGTGTACACAGTGGGTTTGCTCATGATAGAAAATAAATAGATTTAATTTCTTGGATGAATTCATGGTATTTGTGCTGGCCTTCATCCCAAACCAATCCTGCAGGAATATCACCAACAGGAAGAGCTGCGCAGCTCACAGATCTGACTTTACTGCTTAGTTTTACAAACATAGCAGAAATATAGAGAAAGTTCTATCTAATCCTGGAAGGTTCACGGAACCAGTAAAAGTCTAAAAACCTACCTCCCTGAAGGCGACCTTGTAACTTACATTTTGACATTCGACTGTGGTATAAAATCTAATAAAAATCCTATTTATATATTTATAGTCTTTTTAAAAAAAAAAATAATATTCATAATATAGTATTTCATTATGATATTTTGTATTAAGTACAGGCTTATATATATCTCTTAGATGTATTGTTAATAAAGCTAAATATGTGCATGATAATATTGTAATTAGCACGTTTTACCTTTTGTGTGATATGGGAAAGGGATACTCTGTAATGGTTAATCTGTTTTCTTGCACCAGAAAATTTACTTTTTTTCTGTTCATTTGTTTTTCTTTAAAATGTGAAGAGCAAATGCGCACAAGTAGGGGTGCACTAGGCAGACAGCGATGTTTCAGCAGGGGCACAGTTCTGAGGTGTCCCCGAGCAGCCACTTGTTCACCCCTCTCATTCCCTTCTTACTAGCAGGTGGAAACGGGGCTAGTGCAAGGATGTTTGTCTCCCTAGGTAAAATATTTTGTGCCCTATGTGCACCATCCATGGTGTGACATTACCTGAATCACGCCCCTGTATGCCTCATTTTGGTGTGGCATCACAATGTCCCACTCATATCATCTAACACCGACACACACAAACAAGCTCACTGACACAACCACATACACACAGGCTCTCTGATACAATCACAATCACGTACACACAGGCTCTCTGACACAATGACAATCATATACACGCAGGCTCTCTGATACAATCACACAGGCTCTCTGTCACAATCAGATACACACAGGCTCTCTGACACAATCACATACAAGCAGGCTCTCTGACACAGTCACAATCACATACACACAGGCTCTCTGATACAATCACATACAAGCAGGCTCTCTGACACAATCACAATCACATACACACAGGCTCTCTGATACAATCACATACACACAGGCTCTCTGACACAATCACATACAAGCAGGCTCTCTGACACAATCACATACACACAGGCTCTCTGACACAATCACAATCACATACTCACAGGCTCTCTGACACAATCACAATCACATACACACAGGCTCTCTGATACAATCAGATACACACAGGCTCTCTGATACAATCAGATACACACAGGCTCTCTGACACAATCACATACACACAGGCTCTCTGACACAATCACATACACACAGGCTCTCTGACACAATCACAATCACATACACACAGGCTCTCTGATACAATCACATACACAGGCTCTCTGACACAATCACAATCACATACACACAGGCTCTCTGACACAATCAGATACACGCAGGCTCTCTGACACAATCACATACACATAGAAACATAGAATGTGACGGCAGATAAGAACCATTCGGCCCATCTAGTCTGCCCAATTTTCTAAATACTTTCATTAGTCCCTGGCTTTATCTTATAGTTAGGATAGCCTTATGCCTATCTGCAAATTTCTCTAACGTAGGCTGTCCAAATAAAATTCTTTTATTTCCTTGGAAACAATAAAGACTTGAATTCTCATTGTGATAGGAGCTGACTATTTATAATAAGGGCGTTATATTGTAACTCACGCAAACAGGGGAAGCTGTGTGTTAACCGATACAGAACCAGGAAAAAACACGAATTATCTAAACAAAAACTGCGTGCTGGAAGGTTACCCGAGACCAAAAGCCAACTATATATTTTTGTAAGAGCTAACCCGACTCAATGTTGCCTTTAACCAAAACACTTTATTTCGAACTATTATAATATAGTGATATACAACACAAGGTCCCCAGAGGTTTTCAATCTACATGCTGAGACCATGTGAACAATAGAGTTCCCCCTGCTGGTTGCATTTATCACTACACTTCTTGCACATATTATTAACAATCAAATAACTGCTATATAGTAAAAAACCCAGGACCACGGTATTCGAATATAACAAGCAAATCTAAAAAGTGTTTTTAGCTGGTATTTGGTTGAGCTGCAGTCATGTAATAATTCAGGATTTTGCGAACAGATAATAATTAGTTATAAAAACTTTATACAATGCTTAATCCACTATTTTACACGGTGAAATGTTAGGTCTGCGAGGCGTTGTCGCTGTTGGAATAAATTCTATTTTGTCATTGGGTTGGGCAGGAGACAATCCTCTAGTTCTTAATGGGTGCCATTTGCGTCAAATACCAGAAATTCACCATCATTTTTACATTTTCGGCCAAAATAGAGTAACTGCAAACTTTGCTGATTTTTAATTTATTTTTTCCCATTTCAGTCTAAAATGCAAAATTTTTTTTAAATTCCTAACTCCACCATCTCTCTCTCCCACGACCATCGCGCGCACGACGTTAAGTGACGGCATGTGTTTATACGACCAAGATGTGGCCATAGAGATAAAAGAATCTTATGTATCATTGAACAAAGCTCACAGGCGCCAAACACTAACTTAAGTAACCTCCGCCCAGTGCGCATCCGGCGGGGTTTTGTACGACA